ATCTGAAAAAATATCTAATAAAGGAAATTCATTTCATGACTGTTGCAATCACGGTGCAGTGTATTTGCAACCATTACCTGAATTTCCTCATTTTATTCGTAGTTTATTTGATGGTAGTCATATAAAATCTAATCATTTTTTTCAACAGATTCGTAGTTATAATAGTTCATTTTCCTTTGCATCATTTAACGCTAATTTGATTAACTTTCAAGATAGACGACCTGGTCCATATTGTTTTAAAATACAAGGGCAAATTTATTATCAAATTAATACAGCATTATATGCTGTACAAAATGAAAGTCCTACTTATGGCCAACTTTTCATTGTGGATTCAAATGAAGCGATACATCATCGTCTTAATCAAAATTTGTATTTTGATTTAGAAATTGTACAAAACCTTGAACATATAATACGGGAATTTAATGTATTTGCTCAATCTTATCAAATGATGGGTGAAGAATTAAAAAATCAACAGTGTTTAGAAACTGAATCTGGTGAATTATTACCGGAATTACAATTATTATTTACTTTAAAGCCAGGAATGGATCGACGTCGATATAATGCTCAAAGAACTAATGAAGTTGCTGCTGTTTTTTGTACTACTGCTGATGGAGAAATTCCAGAATCTTACGTTACAATACGTAATAAAAATACTAAAACTTTACAAAATGTTAGTATTATGGATCCAAATGTTGAACCATGGATATATCCATTGTTTTATCCATATGGCACTCAAGGATGGCATCGTTATTTAACAAAAGTAAATAGTGATAAACGAATAAGTCGAGCACAATATATTAAATATCGTATGGCTATTCGTGATGAATTCAATGTTTTTTTGTTAGGACGTCGCTTATTTCAGCAGTGGCTTGTAGACAATTATGTAAAAATTGAAAAAGATAGAATTGATTTTTGCAAAAATCATCAGAAAGAATTACGTACTGAAACATATCAAGGTTTAAGAGATTATTTACAAACTACGGCGAATAACTTAAATGGACGTGTTGGTAAAATGGTTATATTGCCTTCCACGTTTACTGGATCGCCGCGTAATATGTTACAAAATTACCAAGATGCAATGGCAATTGTTAGTAAATTTGGTAAACCAGATCTTTTTATTACTATGACTTGTAATCCAAAATGGCGTGAAATCGAAGAAAACTTATTGTCTGGTCAACAAGCTTCTGATAGACCTGATATTTGCGCTCGTGTTTTTAATATTAAAAAAGATTATTTAATTGATTTAATTGTTAAACAAAAATTTTTTGGAGAAGTAGCAGCGTTTGTGTATGTTATTGAATTTCAAAAACGCGGTTTACCACATGTGCATATGTTAATTACTTTAAAATACAATTTTAAAATAACAACTCCACAGATTGTTGATAAATACATTTCTGCTGAAATTCCTGATCCTGATGAAAATCATATTTTACATGATATAGTTATGAAACATATGATACATGGACCTTGTGGCGATTGGTGTTTGGTAGAAGGACGCTGTTCAAAACATTTTCCAAAATCTTTTCTTGAAGAAACTAAAATGGATGAAGGTGCTTATCCTTATTATCGTAGACGAGATAATGGCA